TTGCTGAATTCCACGAAGATTTTGTCCATCTTAAACAGTTCGGTCTTGTTTTCTGCTCAATTTTCACGGGCCAGGTTCGACAAATACGAGCAAGTTTGGTGTAAACATAAATCTGTCATCAACACATCTGAGCCAGGAATCCACCAACCCCTGAGAGGCTGTGCTCGGTTCGAAGGGAATGCAAACTAATTTGAATTACTTAAACAGTAATTACGGTGTTTTGGGGTTTATCGTCTTTTACGTCAGGGGTTTGATTATGCGCACGAATCAGGGGTATCTGCATGAAGTAGGATTCACCAACGAAGTTCGCTCTCAGATACTGTACACACGGAATCGGATAGCGTACACAATAATTACTAGTCACCGGAACCCTTCGGAGCCATATACAACGAAGCCCATAGACTGTCAGAACGACAATGATATGCAGCTGGAGCATGCGTTTGATTTTCATTCTGGGTATTTGAAGTTTATTGAGCGGCAATCTACGAGGTTAACTGTAGACCAGATAATCATACCTCTTAATTTGTTATACTTGTTCCTTTACGTCCGATCGATCTTAATGCCTGCTGACCTGATTTTAAAATGGCGGTCAAACGGCACGCTAACCTAATTGAATTTTGGTACATGCTCGCTGAGACCCTTCTGCAGAAGATTGTCGTTCCTATCGCGTCAAAGAAACGGCGCGGGCCATACCCTTGTATACGCTCATTTCAAATTTCACCTGACTCCCCGCTGAAGGACTAGCCTCCCAGGCAAGACACCCGAGAAAAGGCAGGTGTTGCTGGAGACATCCGCTTCCACTTCCGACAGCGAAACCGTTTACAGTGTTCCCCAGTGAAAATGTCCATCAGAGAAGAGGTGCAAGGATAGTTAAGTAAGACTACGTGACGAAAATGGCCGAATCTGCTAGCATGCACTCCAGATGTCCTCAAAGGCGAGAGAGGCGCGCTTGATCAGTTTGCCTGAACCACGTTGTCAAGCCACACGCTCGATCAAGAGGGACCTTAAGCAACACTTGAGGATAATTGCAATCAGTATAGACTGCAACCGTGGAAGCGAACTTTGGCGGGTTATTTCGTCTAATCCGTGTCGCAGCAGGAAACAGAAAAAAATCGGAACCACTGTTGCACATCACCTCGGACATCCAAAATGCCAACTTATCCTCATGCAGGAGTTAGTTGGTACAAAGTAAATAAATAGTTCTTTATGCAGACAGTTGATTAACAGAAATTTGCGTGAATGTTCTTCAAATCTAAATAATTATTTAGCTATCGCTAATGACACTCTTACCATGGACCTGGTTGACTGGTCTGTGTTAGAGTGTGCACCAGCGAGTGCTGCTGGAAATCGAAAGAGACAGTGAGGTAGGAAACCCACAAGAAGTTTCAACGTAGGTCTAAATCCAAAGAAAATAACTTTCATCTGTGTTCCGGGGAAATCAAACAAATAAATAAAATCAAGTTTATAGTTCAATCATCAAATGCTGGCAAGTGTCCTCCGAGAGAGCGAGAGAGCGAGTGAGAAGTGATCTTGTCCACATCTCACTCACCGTCATCTCTTCACCGCTATGAGCTGGTCATCACTGGATTCTTCATATTTAGTTCATTACTCTAGTTTCAGGACAAAAACTGTCATTTATTCTAATCGTGCAACGAATCTTCGCAATTAGGGGTTCACCACCGTACTCCAGTGCAGTTAATTGGTTGCGGTTTATGCCACTGGTATTCTTCGGTCAAATGTCTCAGGCGTGCACTTCACTACCGCCATACAAATTGGATGTTGGTTATCTGTTTTTTTTGGGGGGTTAATACCTATCCTTTCCTACGAGGCACTTAAAGTACCAGTTCTTTGTTGTTACTTACTTTATGTCTTGTGTTCATCATACTGGAAAAGACCTTGTATAATGTTAAACAGTGCAAGCTGTAACAACTCGAGCCTGTTTGGCATCTTGTGTATGGACAGCAATGCAGTCATTGCCTCCAAAAGCCTCAGTACGGTCGGCGGTGTGTCTCGGGTTGCATCTGGCCACCCCTCGATTGCATTTTGCGAAATTCTCCCATACAACCAAGCGTGTGAAATAGCTGCTGCTGATAAAGCCCTACTCACTGCCTTCTCGTGAGGAGGGGTTTTCCTCACCAAAGTGAGAGGATAAAAAGCCAATATCCGGGGTTGTAACCTGGTCGATGAACCACTGACAGTTCATCTAGAGAAGATCCTAGATACCCTCGGTGGTGGTGGCGCAGCGGTTTAGTCGCTGTCACCAGCGTGCTCTGGACCCTCTGGTTCGAGGTTCAAGCCCCGCGACCCGAATTTGGTGGTAGGCAGCTCCGCTGTCGTCCGGTTCAATACCACGCCTATTCTACCGGGGCCTTATGTGATTCGTCACTCCAAGTTCCGGGTCTTAGGTTGCCGGTTTCCACCTCTGAAAAGCAGGTCATCGTGACTATGAGGTTCGCCCCGTCTGCTGTTCATCACACATTGGTGTGTAATAAAAAAACGTACTAACCCAGAGAAGCTAGCTAAAAACCCTGATTCCAAACCAACCAAGAAGAGTCGTACGAACCTAACCTTCCTGGTTGTTACAGTGTTCACCGTCTCGATTAGGTGTTGAGATGTATCGGGCACTTCAGACGTTTGACTCCGCCCAAAGGACGTATGATCCGATGAACTAGACACCGCCCCCGTTTGGATTGCGGCCTTACACCGCTCCGCTGCCTTGCGGGTCAGGCTTTAATTAACCAAAGACTCTGGTTCAATTGCTTTGGTTTGGGCAACCGGGCAGTGTTCCGCCCACTAGCAAGTCAGCAATCTTTTTCTTTGGTATTCAGATTTTTGGCACAGTTCTGACTCACACATGTGAAATATGATAGCATAATCTATATATTGTTCACTGACCTCGGTTAACGTCAACTACACTTTTCTGTTTCATTTAGCTTGTTCCAAATACTGTTCAATCTCGAGAATCACCTGCTCCGGAATTCACCAGTTCGATGGATCTCAGCCGAGCGGAGACCTATCCTTGTTCTGACGTTCGTCGTTGGACCAAACCCACAGTCGGTCAGACAACGCCGCGCCATGAGTTAGTCACAGCTAGAGCGATTTCACGTCTGAGCCACAGCGTCGCCCAATTAAGTGCCAGTAGCAATGGCAGCAGCCACAATAACCACTCCACAGCCCGATGCAATTCCCGCATAAAAGGTGGGAAGCATGCTCCCAGTCAGCACTCCTCTCCCAGGTCACTTGCTACTTCTGGGTCAACCGGAACAAAATCGAGCACTGCACATAGGTTAGTTATTTTCATTTTTTCCAGTTGCTTTTTAACATATCTTTTATTTCGCATATTAAAATTGTTTTTTGTTACTTTTGATATAGTCATTCATTTCACTAGTTTTACGCTTGTCTTTCAGCACTCGAGACGATATACACAAAAGAACGGTTACCGGAGCGAAGCGCAAGTGGGAATCAGACAGTCGGGGGTCACATATTGCCATGGATGTGGATCAGCACATTTCTGAAACACCAAGAACCGATGCTTCAGCTGTTATTATTCCAACAGGCTCTGTGGCTCAGCGACACACTCTAACTCCAGCGGATAAGATCTCGGTTATATCCGAGCCAGTGGGTCATGATTCGTCTTCTTGCTCATCAATGCACTCCATCTCCTCCTCATCGTCGCCGTCAAATCATAGTCCTTCCGGATCTTCATCGGAAGAGAACGAAGCAGATGCGGAGGGAGATGGCGATGAAAGTGGCTCTCACTCGCGCTATACTTCACCCGCACACAGTCGAACCTCCATGAGTCCGTTTGGAGTCCCAGGTCCACGCAAATCCTCCCATGTCATCAGTTCAGCCATTCCACAGAGTAAGCGGGGTCCCCGCACCTCCCGCGGTTCGGTGTGCGGTGGGGATTCATCGGATGGTATGTCTGTAAGTATCAAGATTCCGCGCCTCACAAGTTTCTCTGGACCCCTATCAGATGTTTGCACAAAATTATCTTCATCACGCCGGTTAGAGTTGTCCTTTTCACACGGACGAGGTAGAAATGGTCAACGAGCTTTGTGTAGTTGCAATCGGGGTTTACGCCAGCATCGATTACAGCTGAGACGTGATAAAAGCGACTCAATGCTGGTCGATTCCTTGGATCCGTCTGAAGGAGTTGAAGGGCTATGCGCACGTGTTCGTCACAAGTAAGTATTGTGAACAGTTTTGACCAGGGATTTTAGCTATTTTTGAATGATTCATAATCATGCCTGTACGGATCACATGAGGGCTTGTTGTTGGTGGCGACACATTTTCACGCCAAACTGAAACATTTTCACGCTGGGTCGAAAGGTCATTTGGGATGGGGAGAAGGGAGGGGTAGGGTAAGCCCTATGTGTCTGTGTTCGGGTGAGATTGATTGTGATTGGAGATTAAGTCACATAGGCCCCGTTAGGCTCCCTGGCTCGGGACCT